TAAATTAAACTATTTTTTATGTATTTAAAAGTAAATTGTAATTTCAAAAATATAATATCACATAAATTAAGATGCAATTTTAAACAAAATGCATTTATTTAGACGTAATAAAAATTATTTTTCTTATATTTTTAATACAAATTTAAGCTATTTTAATGTAACTAGAGTTCTTAGTGTTTTTTTACTTATTATATATAGCATAAGGACGCTTTGGAAATGAAATTATTTATAAATCAAGAGAAGACTAGATTAACATAATGATATTAGGTCCTGAAGAACAGAAGGGTTTGTTTCTAAAAGGACAAAAAACAAAGATTTCTTGGATTGTATGCCGTTTTTTAACCTAAAAAGGACACACAAATTTACATAATGAATAAAATATTTGCTATTTATTTCTAATTTTACATGTTATTTAAAAATATATCTACATTAATATAACTAATTTATTTAGATTAATCTTTTCAAAAAAATGGAAATATTACCATAGCTCTATAAAAATTAAATGTTATTATAAAGCAATTAATCTGTGCAAAATTAAAATTTTATTCCAACATTATCAATATATACAGAATATTTATAGCAAAAGAGAAATGTGTAAAGCTTTTTGAACCGGGAATCTTTTTGTGAATCTAAAAGATTAAATAAGAAAACTTTGCCATCAGGTATAAAATTAATTTTAAAAAAAAGACCCAGATCATCATTTAATATAAAAAATAATTTACCTAATGTAATAAATATTAATTAAAATTGTGTAATTATGTATTTTTTTAAATTATATATATATATATAATATATATTAAATTTGTAAAATGAGTATGGCAAATTTTATAGTTATGTAAGCAAAATATAATTTTTATTGAATCATGTTTTGTGTTTTCTAAGATTCTTGGGCTCAATCAAGAAGTTTTGATCTTTTTTACAATTGTGTATTTAATTACTTTTGTCAAAAATTTAAGATTAATATATCATTTAATATGTTATGGATTGATAAAATCAAAATATTTCATGTTACTCTTAGACAAAAAAAAAGGGTCCGGGTACAGTAATATAATTTAAAAAGGGTCCGGGTTCAGGATTCTGGGAACATTAAAAAAATGACTCAAAATAAGACTTATTTTTTATAAACATTCATAATTAACAAATAAAAAATTTTAAAATGAAATTTATATTTTAAATGTTTTATTCAATTTATATTTTAAATGTTTTATTCAATCGCACAATCATAATATCTTGTAAAATATCATCCTTGAGATTTATACGTTAATTAGTCAGTATATGTTTCAAAGATAAAAATCTACGTTCTACGCTTACCTAAAGGTTATCTATATAATACATAAATTATTGTACTTGTGTGGTCGGTACAGCCATGACGACTCAAGACAAGATATAGAATTCTGGATATGGTAAATTCCATATCAAATCAACAAAAAAATCGATTTTCAACCAGACCACCTTCAATTTTTCTTAAATTTTGTATACTGGTACTATATACTATAGCTAAGAAAAAAAATGTACTTTCCAACACTGTTTACCCGCTAAGATATGGTGGTTTAAAGCGCGGAAAAATGGTATATTTTTGACAAAATGCACCTCATTTATTTTCAAATATCTCGATAAATAATTATGTTAGAAAAATAATTTTAATTTTATTTTGTAGCTTAATAAAAGTTCTTTAAAATGACATAAAAATAAATATGATGGACAACCGGATGTGTAAAACCGGAAATAACCATAGAAAAAAAGGTATTTTTTTTCTATAGATAGATATAACACTGCTTTATATTTGTAAAAAATCCTAGACTGGGATGAACATTTTTGAAACCGCACAAGGTAAAAGTCCATGCGACATTTTGGGGGCCGTTACTAAACGGTTAGCAGCTCGAGCAAGCTTGCAACGTCCATATGAACATCACATATTGACAACAATAGATTTATTTAACTATGCAAGAAATAATATCTACGGGGTAAATTATATATTTATGAGCAATAATGAATATATGAACACAGAAAGTCATCTTGAAAGCAGATTTTTGAGAGCAAAGAGAATTTCTGGAACACAAAGTTCCAAGCTTTTATTCCCCTAGACGAAAACAAAAGTCATAATTTATCAAAATTCCTTGGATGATTATAATATATGATATATTTTAATTATAAATTTTTGATTGTATTATATGTAATGCAATTTGAGGCAAATAAATTATAAATATGTTTAGAATTATTTTGTCAAGTAACTTCGAGACAAAATTTAACTAAAGTTTTAAACAAAGATCATTATTCCAGCCACTTCTCAAAAATTTTGATAAAGATAAAAAAAAGTAAGGGCTTGTCATTTAGACATAATTTTTAAATTGACATTATTTCATAACTATTCATTAAATTTAAAAATGATGATATCTTGGGTTAAAATTGTTCAATTTTAGCCATAAACGCCTAAACCCATGTTCATCCCTGTCTAGGATTTTGTACAAATATAAAGCAGTGTGATATCTATCTATAGAGAAAAAATTTTGAAAATACCTTTTTTTTCTATGGCCATTTCCGGTTTTCGATATTAATCAAATGTCTATCATATTTATTTTTATGTCATTTTAAAGAACTTTTATTAAGCTACAAAATAAAATTTAAATTATTTTTCTAACTTAATTATTTCTCGAGATATTTGAAAATAAATGAGGTGCATTTGTCAAAAATGTACTATTTTTCCGCGCTTTAAACGGCCACATCTTAACGGGTAAACAGTGTTGGAAGGTAAAATTTCATTTTTTTCTTAGTTATAATATAACTACCAGTATACAAAATTTAAGAAAAATTGAAGGGGGTCGGCTTGAAACCTTGGTTGATTTGATATGGAATTCACCATATGAAGTATTTTTTTCCCAGAATTTTAAAATATTTGCATCCTTATCTTAACTTCTGAGAACTTTTCTACTAAATATGTTATAGGAATTTTTTGATCTTCCTTTCTATCTGATGATAATTTGATTTTTTTTCTCTATCTACTCCTTTCTATCCGATGATAATTTGATTATTTTTTCTCTATCTAAATGTAAAACTTCAAGATCATCAATGTTGCTATCACTATCATTATTATCACTACAACCAGTAGGTATTATTGTCAATGGAGTTTTGGGTATGCCATAATTCCTTAAGATGATCTTTAACCATTTGTTTTTGCTTAATACTCAATAAAACTTGATATCGAGGGTCTAAATATATAGAAGCGTATACAACACTATTTTGCAAATATTGTTGATCTCGAATTTTCATGTTTTCTAATATTTCGTATAAAAAGGACTAGTAAATCCTTGTAAATCTAATCGGCATCTAATCCATATGCCATAAAAATCAGATAAACATAATTGTTCTGATTGTAATCTTAATATTGTTATTTTTAAAGACTAATACACTAGTAAGGTCCTTTATTTGGCACCAATCATCTTCCAACAAAATGACTTCACATGCTAATATAATAAAATCATTAGAGAAATCTTTCAAACTTAATAATTGTTCTAGCATAATATAAAATGAGGACCAACGTGTTGTGCAATCTAATATTGCCATTGAGCTTTTCATTGATTTTAATATTCTTACAATTGTGGGAAAAATTTTACAACATCCCCTGCTTTATTGGTGGTAGTTTTAAAGTGATTAATTTTTAGGCAATCATTAATAGCCAATTGTAGAGTATAGTCTGCACATCTGATGCAATATATATGTATGGAGAAATCTATTAATAAATTTACATAATAAAATACTATTACCTACACTAGATGATATCAATTTCTAGATAATATGGAAGTTTAGGAAGAAAGTTGAAAAAATAATTCCACATAAAAAGTTAATATATTTTTTAAAATTTTTATGACACCTAGAAGCATTGGACCCTTCACTTTATAAAGGGTCTTCGGGTATAGCAAAATACAAGAGTTCAGGTTCGAGTTCACATCGATGTTTTATATTCTTAAGTTTATAATTTTAATTTGTATAAAAAATATATAAATTAAACAAATTTTATTAAATAAATACTTTTTTTACACACATTAGAAAACATCAAATAAAAAAAACAAAATATTTTGTTGATTATATTTATCTAGCCCAACATTAATGTTTAGCTTTTCAAAATTAAATCAGCATTTAAATTTTCCTATATTAAGAACATTTTTAATATAGTATGTAGGGCTGTGCCTATATTAAATATCGGATCAGATCGGCACCGATATTTAGCGTTTCCCAAAAATATCGGATCGGGCCTATACCTGTAAAAACCGATCCGATCTTTTACTTTTCTTTTTTTTGTTAATTTATGTTATGTATATTTATTTTATATTATTATAATATTTTCTAAATAATTTTTTTTAAAAAAATGCAAATGCACAACACCCTCTAAATTTTATTTCCTTTTTAAAATAGATTTATAGTATTTTAAAAGTTTTTTTTATAAAAATAGAAAGGAACACCCAAAGTTTTATTTATTTTAAATAATAACGCCTATTTTATTATTTATACTTTAAAGAAAAGAATTTTTTTAAACATGGTATCTGTATTATGGAAATAAAAGATAATATTTCAAAATGCATTATCATCTGAGTCTGCCTTCAATACGGCAGGGTAGTGTTTGCAACGGTCCGGTCCCGTCCGGTTTCTTTTTTCCAAAATAAGACCGGACCGATGGACCGTTAAGTCAAATGAGACCGGACGTGGGACCATCGGTCCGGTTCCATCTAATTTTTTTTATTAAGCTACAAAAGTTTATTCAGCATTAAATTTATTTCAATATTTTTAATTATATCAAAATCATTTTTATTATATTATACAATACATGCCTAATATTACAAAAGAATTAAAATACAAATTTATTGAATACAATTTAAATCAATTTGATTATAATTAATTAATTGTATATATATAGCGATAGATATTTAATTATAAATAAATTATATATAGATAAATATTTTAATTATCTTCTAAAAAATTTAAAATTTTTAATCCAAAATTCAAGTGTCATCATAGATTGAACCATCTTCGGATACATTCTATTTCGTTTTTTTGTTATTTTATTATTAGCTTTGGAAAATATCCGTTCACATGCTACAGATGTAGCCTGCTGTGGGAGATAATCCATAGCTATTTTGGCTAGAATTGGATATTGATTCCCGTCCCATCAATCTAGCATGTTGGAATTAATAGGATATAAAATATCAGATAAATAGCTTTGGATTTCATTATCATCTTTCTCTGCTGATGTCCCAGTTCCCATGAGCCTATCCCTGGCTATTCTCTCCCTCAAGGATATTTCCTTAAATAATAATGGTCAATAAAATAACTAAATATTTTTATATACTTTGTTTGACTTTATGCCACTTGATAAAATGCTTGCATATTTTTCAAATATTTATTTAAATTGAATAAAATTTTCATGAGTATTTAATAAATTAAACATGTGAACCTAAATAAAAAGAAATTTTGTAATATACTATAAATAATTAGGAATAACTTTTTTTAATTCTAGGGTCTAATAGACTCCCAATATAGGACTCCATACTTAAAAATGTATGAATATAGTGATTAATTTTTTTTGTGACTTTCAATGCAAAAGGTGCATCAATAAAAGAGGGGAAAGAATTAGAAGTAAAAATACTTTCAATGTGTATTTGTATATTTTCCATTAGCATAAGACAAGAGAAAAACTATTTAAAATATTAAATAAAATATATTCAACCAATGGTTGGATATGAGGATTCAGATAAATCCAAGGTAGTTTCATAGAATGGCTTTAATAAAGGAAATAGTTTCTCTATTTTATTTTTGTCACCATTAGTCAAGGCAATGTTGCCAAATGTTTCATATTCAGAATAACAAAAAGTTATTATTGAAATTCTAATAATAAAAAATATATAATCCTATTTAAAAATATAGATAATTTACTGTTAGAACCTTCTCCAACATCATATATATTGAATTCCAGTGGGTTTCAACATCAATTGGAATTTTTTGTCCTTTATCTTTAAGTAATGCTCTATATTTTTGAAGTAATGGACTTTGAGAAATGTTTGTTGTAATTGATCTTACTTTCACAATAACTTCATCAATATTTTTTAGAATATCCTGGCAAATGATGTTTATCACATGAGCCATACAGCCATATGCTGCAAATGGGTTTGGAACAGGGTTGCCATGCCTCCCCCCATCAGTGGGAGTCTCCCACAATTTTTTAGTTTACCCACATACATCTCACTCCCACAAAACTCCCACAATTAGAAATCTCCCACAAAAATCTCCCACAATTTTTTAATTTCTCCCACAATTTTTTTTTAGCATTTTAATGTTTTTAATATATAAATAATAATTTTGAGAGACAGTATTTGATTATTTTTATATTTTTAAAATAAATTTTAAATATTTATTCGAAAAATATGTCTAGTTCTTTTATTTTATTTTTCCGCTAATTTTAAATTCTCCATCCAATCCAATCCATTCGACATTTTCAAAATTTGAAGTTAGAATAGTATGGGAAACTAGTGCTTTTTTTATATTTTTATTTATATATACCATGATAGTTATCTTCTAGGTGAGATTTAGATTGTGAGGTTAAAGCACTAGTTTCCAATACTGATGTTGTTTTTTGGACAATAAAATGTTATAATTAAATATATAAAAAGAAAAATTATTTTCAATATAAATTGCTTATGTACTATTATATATTAAAAAATATATTATTAATATTAGAAGTAATATTTTTAAAAATTAGCAATGAAAGTGGAACTCATCTTAGAAAATATTATTATCCTAATCATCTTTAATCTAAGCTTAAAAAATCCTAAATATTATACATATTTTATATTTTTATTTATATATACCATGATAGTTATCTTCTAGGTGAGATTTAGATTGTTTTGAGGTTAAAGCATTAGTTTCCAACACTGATGTTGTTTTTTGGACAATAAAATGTTATAATTAAATATATAAAAAGAAAAATTATTTTCAATATAAACTGCTTATGTACTATTATATATTAAAAAATATATTATTAATATTAGAAGTAATATTTTTAAAAATTAGCAATGAAAGTGGAACTCATCTTAGAAAATATTATTATCTTAATCATCTTTAATCTAAGCTTAAGATATCCTAAGAGGCCGAGTTAATGGTTAAACAAAATTATAAAATGTCATGCCAGGATTTTTATAAATATCTTAATAACGACGGTAAACGTTTAGTTCCATTATTTAAATCTCATATAAAATATAATTAACTATAACTATTTGACTTTCTATATTTTATAAAATCTTATTTATACATTTGCATAAAATCAAATAAATTTATTTTTTACATTGTAAAATTAATATTTTGAATATTTTGGCAAATCATAAAAATAAAGAAGCATTACAATCTCCTCAAACATGACATCATATTAAATCTTATTAATAATTATCCGATAATAGTAATATTCTTACTTTGGTATTTCTGCAGCATAATTTAGTGAGCCTTTATTAAATTATATTCTTCTGATTGCAACTGCATATTAACAGCATATAGTAGATTTCCTATATGTAAAATTCCTAAATATACTTCTGCCATTTATTTTTGAAAATTATTTTCAAATAGGACAGCTTTTATAATCTATTTATTTTTTAAAGGTTTGTATTTTAAAATTCTACGATAGCGCGTATTAGGAGGAACCTGTCAACCAACATTATGCTGACTCAATTCTGTAAATACACTCTGGTTTTTGCCAAATTCACTGAGGAATTATTAGATCAGAAAGCTACCATGCAATTCATTGGTAATGCCAAATCTGCCATATTTACCATTATATATGGTTAGCTATGTCTTTGGATATTTCATATCTGGAGAAAATTTTTTTAATAGTTTTATTAAAATGACATTAATTTTGTTGAAATAGGGGAGGATCAAGGGAAATGTTTTGATATCTCCTTATTAGATGCATCTGTTAGAATTGCATATGTTTGCACATCTTTCAAATCGTCAAGAATTGACCTTCTGGATTTATATCCTAAAACATTGTTGATAGCCTTGCTCATTTTGTGTTCTACAAAGTATTCTATTCATTTATATTAGTCGTTAAATATTATGGGGAAAGATTCTACCAACATTGAGATGTTGAGTAACTCTCTGAATGTTGTACTGCATGATAGGTATTTACCATTTCCGCAACTGTAGTTGCATCTATATTATTTCTTATTTTTGAAGAATATTTTTGTTTTGAAATAGATGTTTATAGAATGCCCTGTACTTATTTATGCTTTGAAGATTTTTGATACCTCAAAATATCATATTCCCTTCCCCCATTTATTTTTTTACATTGTAAAATTACAATTTTTTATAAAATTTTATCTTGTTTACATTCTTTTGTATTTAAAAAAGATCGTTGGTTATTATTTTTAAACAAAATTAATATATTATAATAAATCAATATGTTTTTTTAATAATAAAGATAGTACTCTAAGAAATTTTGTGTCATACAGTAATTACCTATTTTGAAAAATAGTTGGGTATTTTATTTTGGAAAATAGTTAACTATTTTATTTTGAAAAAGAGTTGGATATTTTATTTTGAAAAATAGTTAGGCTATTTTATTTTGAAAAAGAGTTGGATATTTTATTTTGAAAAATAGTTGGCTATTTTATTTTGAAAAATAGTTGGCTATTTTATTTTGAAAAATAGTTGGCTATTTTATTTTGAAAAAAAGTTAGCTATTTTATTTTAAAAAAAGTTAGCTATTTTATTTTGAAAAATAATTACCTATTTTATTTTGGAAAATAGATTAGATTTTATATTTATAAAAGATAATAAGTGGATAACTAAGTCAATGGCCTGCAAAAAAATTTTTTTTACCAATTTCTCCCACAATTTTTATATTTCTCCCACAAAATACCTAATTTCTCCCACAATTTGAAAATTTTGACCTGGCAACCCTGGTTTGGAATCATGTCTCATTAGTCTCTGAGTTTTAACCATATTTGCAGCATTGTTAAACTGATAGTTTTTTTTTTCAAATTGTATTCAATAATTAATTCAGTGAGGCATTTTATACATGTTTTTATCTTTGTGAGGATAAGGCACATAATTAATATCCAATATTATTTCTTTCATTTTCCATGTTTCATCAATATAGTGGCCACTTATGATATATACGGAAGTTTTTGAACAGACGTCCATAAATCTGTTGTGATAGCCAGTTTTCCTGAAAATTTTTCTAGCATGGATATAATAAGACTCTTTTTATTTAGGTAATTGTTTAGAATATTTTTAGAGGACGTTATAATGATTTCAGCAATGTATTTATTGATTTTTTTGTTTTGAGCAGTTGTAATTCTACTATTATATATATATAATCTGAAGAAAAATTTATTTCTTTCTGAACTAATACTTTTTCCTGTGTAACATTTTTATGCTTAAGAAACATATGTCGTCTCAAAGTAGCTAAAATATGATAAAATTAGTATGTTTATTTGATTAAGTTTTTATTCACATATTTAAAATTTTGAGTTCCATATATATGCATATTTAACTTGTGCTTGAAGAATTTTAAAATGTTTGTAGACATATTTTACATGTTTTCCCTCTTTTTTGAAAAATTTATAAAGATCTTTTACATACTGTAAAGAATTTTATGAATTTTTTTCCAATGATGCGTGTTGTGGTTCAATAGTATCTTCTATTTTTTCAATTTCCATTTATAAGTAAAATACTAACTAAATATTGAAACGGAAGAATATAAAAAGTAAAAGATGAATGAGATATTATAAAGTGTTAGGCATTAAATATTCATGTTTTATGTGTTCATGTACATGGCACATTAACTAAAAAACAATTCATAGCATAGTAACTTTTATCTTCTTTAATCGGTCTTCGGTCGGACCGAACACTAAGACCGTGTTGTGGGACCCAAGAGCATGATGGGACAGACTTGGACCGAACCGGATCGTCGGTCCGACCGGACCGCTGCAAACACTACGGCAGGGGATATATATAGTCCATATCATAGAAGCTATTGCCAGAAAATCTAGAGGCTTTCATATTAATTAAAAAAACCTAATATATTATAATTTTATATATTAAATATTACAATTTTATAATTCATACCAACATAAAATGGATATCTTATCAAATATATATTTTTTTTAATAATAGTCTTAATTGTAGAAATAAAAATTTTTATAAATATATAATTTGATTTTTGCATAAAAAATATTGATTTCTCTATTACATATACAGTATAAAGATCGGATCGGTATTAGATCAGTTTTGAAGCAATATCGGATCGGATTGGTGAAAAATATGTGGATCAGCCCTAATACTTTGGTATCAGTGGCGTAGCCAGGATTTATCCATATGGGGGGTTTAAAAAATTTTGGCAGGCGGCCTTCGGCCGAGTCCTTAAAAAATATTATATAATATTAATTTTTCAGTAATAATCTTTATATCATTTTTGTTAAAGTTGGCTGAACAAATGGAAATACTAATTCTAAAATCTGCCAATATTTTGTGATGTCTAGCTACTTATGTAGGCAACATAAATGAAATTAATAATTACATTTTGGCTAAAT